AAGCAAACCAAATCTGCCTGCAGAATAATTTTACTGTCATGCCATCTAACAATGTGTAATGCTCATTCTGCAGCTTTGAAATTTGGTATTAGGTAAAGAGTCAGAGCATTTGATCTCATATCAAAATAAAAAATAACATGGAAAAGGCAAGTGAAAGGAGAAAAAGTGAGGAGATGATAGAAGGGAATATCGATTCACTTTAAGGAGGCTGTTAAATGAACAACCCAAAACTTTGACTTAAAAAAGTAGGCTTGACTTGTTAAATGGCTAAGAGAACTTATGTTTTCAGAGCACTCATTATAAAGAAATGCTGTGGGTACAATGACCTATTGTATAGCACAGGGAACTATAGTCAATTTCTTGTAATAACATAATGGAAAAGAATCTGAAAAGAAAAAATATACATGTATGTTTATGTATAACTGAATCACTCTGCTGTACACCTGGAACTAACATTGTAAATCAACTACACTTCAATCAATTTTTAAGGTCAAAAAATAAAATTAAATTGATGCATTAAATATATTTTTAAAAAAATAAACGCTGTGTGAGTGGGTAGAGGCTTTGAATTTTAAATCAAACCTTCTTGACTCCCCTCCAATATGCCTCTCCCTAACTCCACCAAGAGACTCTGGCCATCCTGCTATGAAGCAACCCATCTCGTAAGTAAAAACAACAGGTGTGACACACCTGTTTTTTTACCGATCTTTAGAATCTATCTTTAGTGAAACGATAGTAGAGTCTATGAACTATTGGAGAAAATCGACTGGAAAGTCACTCTTATACAGTTAAAAAGCCAAGCCAACAGTAGGACAAGAAACCCTCAAGACCTTAGGACTAGACATAGCCTTATTTCACAGTTTTGTCATCAGCCGTAGTGATGCATCTGAGGTTAGTCTGCAGAAGTCTTTTGCAGCTTGGGCGATGTTTCTGCCCTTGTTAGAGTCTACAGAAACCTCTTGATTTTTTTTCCCCTTCTCTTCTTCTTTTTTAAATTACTGTTTGACTGCACGTACACATTATATTTCACGTAAATACATATATACTTCCTGATTTTTACATTTCACTTACAGGCATCACCTTTAGGATCCCAAATCCCATCTAGGAAACCAAATCAGAAATTTCAAAATCGTCTCGAAATCATTCGTCATCCCCCACGTCAAACCTCTATCCGAGTCTACCAAATCTACCTATAAAACGTTTTGTAAAACCATACCAGCTTCCTCATTCTCACAAAAGCTGCCCAAGTTCATGTCCTCACCATCTCTAACTTGGAAAAATGCAACAGACTCCAACAGCCTCCTCTCCTCCAGGCCTGTTCCATGTAGTTCCATCTCCCGCCCGCCCAAGAACTCGATTTCCAAAGCAAAGACCTAATGGCTTTCGTGTTCTGCTTTATCAAAATCTCCTGCTGCTCCTCATCCCCACGCCTAAGGGAGGCGCTTGAGGCTGTGTTATGTGGGGCTTCAACCCATCTGACCAGGCTCCTGTCCCACAGCCTCCTTCCAAACAAACTACTCCATCACACTCCTCCCAACTCCCCAGTTCCCCAAACATGCCAGGCTTCTGCACAGGTTGTTGGGATGTTCTTCTAGTTCTCTCTCCATCTGCTGGACATTGACCCTGCCTTCCACACGTTCAATGCCGTGTCCTCTATGAAGTCTGCAGACCCCATCGTGGGGTTCATTCCTCACTGCCTCACCATCCCCCAGAGCTCGGCTCAGTCTGTACCGCATAGTAGTAACTCGTGTACATTCTGTCTCCTCTGTACTGAACATCGTATCTTAATGTTTGCATTTTGTTTAAACTTGGCATTCAGTAGGTACTCATTTGATCAATTTGTAGGAGGCATATAGCCTAAGGCAATACATTTACCAAAAAACAAATGAAAGGTTGAAACCAAGTAATAAATCAAGCTATGGACTTAATATTTACCACAAGGTATGAATGAACTGAAGAGTTACACAGAAATATAGGGAAATCTAATAAAAGACTGGTCAATGAACATAATTTCAGTTATTTAGTGAGACCAAAAAAAATACTATTGAACTTTACAGAAAACATCCTCACTGGTTCTTTTTTTTTTTTAAGATCCTTTGCATTATCTTTTTATTTTTCAATTGAAGTATAATCAGTTTACAATGTTGTGTCAATTTCTGGTGTACAGCATAATGTTTCAAGATTATACATATACATACATATATTGCTTTTCACATTCTCTTTCTTTATAGGTTCCTACAAAATAATATAGTTCCCTGTGCTCTACAGAAGGACTTGTATATGTCACTGGTTCTTAATGCTTATACTTCTCTAAAAGTGATGAACTCTAAAACATTTTTCCTAGTAGTTTTCCTATCTCTGCAAAACCAGTGGCGACTTCCCAGGGGGTCGATAGCTCATGTTCCCTTGAGCTTAACCAACTCTCTCCACCGTTAAAAGACTTCTTTGTTTTATTGACTCGCTTCTCTGAACTACAGTTGTCAGTATCAACGGTTTGATACTGTTCTCAATTGCAACCGTCAGGACTGACCTCTATTTTGTCAGATTTTATTTCTCTAGCTCTATTTCCACAGATATTTCTAGATAAATGACCCAATGCCACTTCAAATTTTAAGTTAATATATATAAATATATATATACTTTTTTCCTAATCCATTCACTTTTCCTCCTGTTTCTGTTTGAAAGACTCTACTAGCTTTCTGATCTAATAATCTTGCCATCTCAGGATTATCTTCAATTTTTCTCAAGGAGAGGGACCAGAGATGCTCTGGGCTTTACAACCTCTGCATGGATAAGATAGGCCTATTATGCCACTTTTTTTTTAAATTCCACTCTTGCATTTTCCATCTTTATATCAGTTTCCAAATATGCCACTTCTTTACCTGATGATCTCGCAAAATCACCTGCAAAATGATAACCTACAAAATCACACCCTAAAGAGTCCCTTGGTCCTCAGTGTCTCCTCTCTGATACTGACTTGGCAGGGGCATCTCTGGTTTCACCCCAGTTGGATTCTCAGTCTTACTGGCACATGACAGATCACCCTCACCTCTAAGCCTTCACACATGCCATTCCTTCTGGCTGGAATGCCCTCTCTTGCTCTGTTCTGCTAAGCCTCCTTCTTCTCTGCCTCTTTAGCATACACATCCTCCACATGGCTCGCCTCAAATCATCCAACTCCAGAGTCCTCCATTCTATTTTTTTCCAGCATCCTCCCACCCCAGGTTATACATTAGCATCTCTCCAGCTCTGCTGGTTTGTATTAATGCTAATTTTTCATTCCACACTTGAATTTGTATTTAGGATGCCAACTGGCCATACAACCATGGTTTCTATCTCCACATCTTCTCCTGCCTTTTAAACACCCATTCTGTGTACCCACCAGGCATCTCTGCCTGCTGGGGGGGAAGAAATAAATAAAAGAACTAAAATTGCAGCAGGAGAGATTAAAATGAAGGTCCAGAAAGTAAATGGGAATTTTCCATTACTGGCAAATGCCATGGGCTTCCATCTGTTTTAGGTGGTTTCCTTGGACGCCGATGATTCAGGTACAGAGACAATGTCCCAGCTGTCAGAATCATCACATTTGGTTTTCTGTTCTCCTTTTGCTCTTTCTCTGACCTTTTCTTACCAGGTTCAGGCTCAGTCCCCTGGTCTACTGCCTGCCTCCTCCCTCCTTTCCCAGGAAGCCCACTCAGACTCGGACCAGCTGGAAAACTCAGCTGCACAACACCTCAGGAAAGGCCCTGCCTGTCACTTTCTACATTTTCTATCCCCTCAAGGGAGAGAATGAACTTTCCACCCCTGGGGATCACTTTTTGCCCCATCTGAAAACCTAAACATTTCAGCTCCTGCTCTGCAGGCACATATCAAAGATCCTTGCTTAGAAAGGGTCCTACAGTTTTCTCCCCAAGGACCAGCAAGGAGATGCTGAAAGACCCTTGAAAGATGGGGCAGGACCCTGTGGGGCCTTCCGGGGACAGACCCCCTCCCCGATGGCCTCTGCTGTAGCCTGTCTCTCAAGTAACCAGATAACAGTAGCTCATGCATATTTCTTGAGTTTTTCAGATGCTTAAAACAACCGCCAAATGGAAGTAATTAACAACTTGATGATTGTGACCGCTTGACCCCCAGACCATCTGGCCCCTAGTGGCTGATAATGTTGACCACCCCATTACCTCCACATTAACCAGAGAATCCCAAACAAGCTGGTCACGCACCCTGCGACCCCCCATCCCTCATCTGGCTTTTAAACATGCTTTGCCAAAACCCCTTTGGGGAGTTCTGGGTTTTCTTGGGCATGACACCTCTACTCCCACCCCCCTTCTCCTTCCTCAGCCCTGCAAAAAAAACCTTTCTCTGCTCTAAACGCCAACATTTTGGTATTTTTTTTTACTTCATTGTGCATGGAGCACACAAACTTGCCTTGGGTAACAGTGTCACTCAGTTCCCCAGTTTTTTTTAAATCCCTGAAAGAATGACTCTGGTGCTTGGGGCAGAAGAAGACGCACCATTGCTGTCGCCCTTTCTTTTCTTTCTTTCTTTCTTTCTTTTTTTTTTCTTTGTGGGTGGGTGGGAGGGGGCTGTTGGAGAGGTTTTATCTCATCCGCGCCATTATCTGCAGATACAAATTGCCCACCCGGATGGTCCTCCCACCTTGTTTTGTCCTCCGACTCCAGCAGAAGATGGAACCAAGTAGTCTTGGAATTGGGGATGGGTTGTGGGGAGGCAGCACAGTTATTTCCTTGACCCCCATTTCCCAGCCTCAAGCAGGAGCTCAGATCACTGGCTGCTACAATTTCTGGATGGTTCCAGTAAAACTCCACGCATTTTCAGGATTCTGAGTCCTGCTCTTCTCCACCCCCAGTCCACTGTGCCCTGAAGCTGGCCGGCCACGTGTCCTGGACCCCCGCTCCTCCCCACCCTCCGCCACTCCGCGTCTCTGTGCCTCTAGGGTCTCCTGGAACCTGGCCGGTCCACCCGCTGGTCTGCCCACTGACTCGCCTGCTTGCTGCGTTCCTCGGTCGCCGACGTAGAGCAGCTCTGGCTTTGGGATGAGCCAGCGAGCCTGCGGTGGCGGCGGGCTGGGTTCCGGCCCAACAAACTTCCTCGGGACCCTCCAGCGGGCGCCCCGGCGGGCGGCCCGCCTCCTCCCCGCGCCCTCGGAGGCGGATCCCGGCAGCGGAGGCAGCGGCTGGGGCGGTGGGGGCGCCTGGGCGCAGGGCCGGGGCCGAGGAGGCCGAGTCCTGGGACCGCCGCCGGCGCCCGCGCCCCGGGGAGCCGCACTCGGAGAAGCAGCCGCGGGTCGGAGCCGGTAACCCGGCGGGGAGGAGGCACCGCAGCCCCGCGCCCCCCTGTTTATGTCCCTTAACTGTCTCCTCGCTACCAGGGGAGGGGAGCGTCTCTAGACCGAGACAAAAGAAAAAAATCGAGCGGCACGAATGTATATTGAGTTTATTTGTTTTGTGCCTTTAACCTCATAGATTTTTGTTTTCATTCTGTACTGGTGTCTGTTCACAGCCGCATCAGCAGGGCTCCTGGTTCCGCCTTACAAACACGCAGTCCAGCCAAATCACCTAGAACTAAAGTATGTAGCCCGCAGCCTGCCTTCCGTGAACCCGGCCACACAAACCACAATCTGTGTAGCCTGCAAAGTGGCTAGATCGTGCCACCCGTTGGGGGCCCCGCCGTTGCGCACGCTCTCCATGGGAATGCGGAATTGCAGGTGTGCGCTATTCAGCCACCCAGACCCAGCTCCGCGCGCAGCACCGTTTTCACGTTTTCTCGCCAAGCAGATGCACGCCGAGGACGAGAAACGCGAGCGGGTGACCCAGGGCTGGCCTG